CCCTGGACCTTTTTCTTCTACAATCATTGCCAAGCTTCCACTGTTGGAAACCTAGCCCAAACCCCACCGCTCAAGGAGATTTCAAATGCATACAATTTCCATACTGCTCAAGTAAAACAAAACAGACAGAATAAAACACCTACGTCTTTTCAACAGTACTTCTTCTCATCAAAATTCGCCATGTATTTTACAAATAAAGCCTATGATGTCCACTGGTTTTTGCTGAGTAGTGTGAATGTAGTTGTGTTATCTTTCCCTCTTAGGAGAATCAGCTTCTAAAGATATGCTTATTTGTTGTTAACTAAGGCAGTAAAATAGCAGAAACTCTTTTACCTAAATTGTCTCAGTGGGCCTCTCACCGCATGTTTCATTTATTCATTTATTTATGTTTGATAGAATAAAACGAAGATAAGAAGGCAGAAATCATGAAAGCATAAAGCTAGAGTGAATTTGTTTTTTTCCCTGTTGTTAAAAATCTCTCACTCATCTGCAGTTGTACGTTCAATCATCTGCAGTTGTACATTCAATTATAAACCACTGTCCCAAGGATTTAATTCTTGAAAAAAAAGTTCACTGGGGAATATTGATGGGGAAGTTTACTTCTGATTTTTTTTTCCTGCTTACATTTGATTAAGTGAACGAGCCTAAGAGGTAGAGGAATAGTAACGTCTCGTGTTTTTAGGTTTGCTGTAATACTTTCCATTGCCTTGGTTGACTGTGCGTTTTTTTCGTTTTCTGGATTTCACTCTTGAGTACTTTGGGACTTTCATAAGAATTTTCTCTTATGCCTAGTTCTTATTTCTTTTCATGATTTCTTATTTGCCTTCATCTCTTTCTTTACCTGTAATTGCCTTCTTGTGTCGAATAAGGGAGAATGGGGTGGACGTGGTATGGAAATCTGTTTGCAAAAGCCCATAGCAATTACTGGCATGCTTAGATATAGTTGGGTTTTCATTTACTTTCTTACTTAATAAGAACGTAGTCATTCCTATGCTGTGGTGCCTCATACTTTTATTCATTGGTAGCCAAATTAGTGATTATTTTTCTTATCAGTGTTCAACAGGATGTTTGATTTGCTCCACCTCCAATTTAGAAGTTAAACAAATTATTAACCTTCCAAGTTTTCATACATGACTTATTAAAGACATAGCTTAAAATACTTAATAACTAACTGAAAAGTAATTCTCTTCAATACGATGGCTGGGATTAGTTTCCAGTAAAATGTCTCGTATAATGCAAGTAGGAAAAAATAAAAAATTGATTGTATATTTTGTCAAAATAAATGGAAATATTTCAATTTACAAAGGGACATTTGGATTGTAGTTCTCATAGAAAATTTTTATAAATTGTTATGGCTTTAATACCATGAGTAAAATATAATAAACATAGTTTAAAATTTTTTTTAAATAATTTTTTTCCTCTTTTTTCTTTATGGGGGGAGGTAATTGGGCTTATTTATTTATACTTGGAAGAGGTACTGGGGATTGAACCCAGGACCTCGTGCACTCTACCTCTTGAGCCATACCCTTCCCCCTAACATAGGTCTTAATTGCAATCATATTTTAAAGACTTGGGGAAGAGTCTTGTTATGTAAGTGTAACTAAGAGAAATTTTAATATTTCGAGCAACCATTAATTATTTGCAACTGTAAGGTGTACTTTTTTACTGGACTGAAGATGGTAGGTTTGGAATTCAAAACTTTATTTAGAAGTCTTCATCAACATTTGACTAAAATAACTCAGTTTTGGAAAAGTTTTACTATTTAGGGCTTTCTTTAATCAGATGTGTTAGTTAATATTACATTATTTTTCATATGAGTTAATTGGAAGTTTCAATTGTAAATTATGTAAATAAATACATATTTGGAAATAATGTAGCTTAATTGAATGTCTTCATACTAATGCTTGGGCGGCTTTTGAATATTATTACTTGTCAGTTTTTTTAACCAAAGCACCTGTGTTTGTGTGAAATCTACAATAGATGATCTATATTGAGAACCATGTCTTCATATTTTTTATCATAATCTTTGCATTATTGGCATAATCTAATTCCTTCTGACAAGGCAAGATTTCAAGAATTCAGAATCAAATTTTGAGCAAAAATGAAAACAGCTAGTTCATGATGCTAATTCATGGAATATTATGTTTTGATGCTGGGTTGCACTTTTAAATTTCATTTATAATGTAGAGATTGAAGTGATGTTAATACATAAAATATAGGAAACTTTTCGATTTCCTAAAAAAGTTTATTTCCAGATAAAGGAATTCACTAGCTGAGTTTCTTCTGGTTAAATATTAGTACACATATATTTAACTATTATTTTTTATGAGAATAAGAACAGTCATTAAGCTTAAAAATTATATGAGGTATGGGATTGCTTTACCTTTGCATGTATCTGTTGCCCCCTCCATCTCACATACATACTCACGGATAGACTTACAGATTGAATGAAAAACAACGTTCTCTGACATAGGATGGACTTTTATGCTTCTTAAAAACAGAATAAGCAAACAAATGAAAAATAATGTCTGTATATTATATTGACCTTTCTTCACTATAGACTAAAAACTCCAATTTCTACAAGTTTAGAAATACCTCAGAATGGTAGATACTGGCTTGCAATGAGTTTAGTCCATTTTTCAGTTGCCTGAATTAGTAACATTTTTATGGCACCACCTTGACAAAGAAGAAGGTCTAAAAAGTTCATTGATGATATTTTCATTGTCTCTAGGAGACAAAGTCAGACTTCCCTTTGAGTCTGTGTAGACAGTGCCACCATGATGGTTTAAATGATCCCTCTTCTCTCTTCTTCTCATTGCTCCCACTGTTCCCCCAAGCTTGCTGGTGAATGACTAAAATTTCTTTCACAGTCACAGATCAAAGATTAAAACAGTAATTTATATTATTGTTTGTAGTGAGGTAACATTTTAATTATCATTTGTTCGAAAGCGTCATTTACTGTTTAATGTGCTTGAGAGTCAAAGTAGTATCATTTAAGGTCAGACTTTTGATGCATGTAAGCTAATATTTTTTTTTTATTCCTTTTCTATTGTTGTAGGGATAGCAAGCATGGGATTATCATTTCTCATAGATTTACTGTGTTCCAAGCCTCATACTGAGTACTTTGTTGATACTTCCTGAGATATCTTCATGCCAGTCCTGTGAGGCAGGCTGTGCTATCTCTGTTCCATAGGTAAAGCACCTGTGTTTTACAAAGGAGGAATAAGAAATAGCTCAAGGTTACACATTAACATGTATTAAACTGAGTCAGTCTGACCCCATCTGTATGTTGGGAACAGTTTTAAGCTTTGTAAGTGTTTTGTCTTTCCCTAAGTTCTGTTTATTGAGAGAACTAGAATCTGCACTGGATTAATTTGTCAGGCAGCTAAGAAGGAAAACAATTCTATTTCACATAATTTATGAGGTGTTTTGGATTGGGACTTTACAGCAGACTATCTATTAATATTATACTCAGGAAATTAATTGAAGTTTTATTACACTATAGGATGTATCAGAAAATTGGCTAAAAAGTTCAACTTTTTAAGTGACAGGATTACTCACTGTCAGACAAAAATAAAAGACTACTTCTCAGTGTTCATCTTTCTCTTCTCCTTTGCTTGCTTGACTATTTAAAGTATTTGCCATTAAATATGTCACTTAACTTCAGTGTTTTTCAGATTTTTAATGTATAAAACATAGAGCAAAATGAAATGATCTCTAAGGTCTTTTCAGGACCTGAAAACTTCAATGTTGTGACATTGCAGCCACTCAAAGCCTAACAGGAAAACATCAGCAACATAATATCCTTATATTTCCCTTTTCTTTCCTGCTTCTGATTGTTATTCAAAAAATATTGGAATATTTTTGAGACAGCAGGTATATACTAAGGTGAAACTGCATTCTTTTCTGCTTTTCACTAAAAAGGTGAAAGTAGATAAATAGGACATTTATTGCCTGAGATATATATCCTTTTTAAATGTAGCATAAAAAAATAGATACAGTGGATATTTTAAAAAAAAAAAGAACACCAACTACTTTCCTTTGTAGTTAAAATTGAGTGCTTCTATTTTGAGGATTAGATACATATAATTCTAATGGAAATAAAGTTCATACATTTAGATTCATAATCTCAGAGCATTTGGTATAATGGGCAAGGTTGTCTTAGACACCTTCATGGAAACAAGATGTATCAGTGAGAAGGGATACAAATGCAGGCAGTGTATACTTCCCTTGCATGGTGATTAGCACATATATTATCTCTCCAGTCTGAGTTACATCCTGAGGAGGAATCCTAGATAGTGTTGGAAGGAGATACGACTTGGAAAACATTCTTGCTTCCCCTGAAGCTGACCTGCACATCATAACTTAATTATTTGTTTCTCAGATGTTGGGATTTTCTCAAATGTCAATGATTCTATTAGCTAATACTTTTTGATTCTTGACCTCTTCTTTAGTACAATGCTGGATGTCGTGGCTTGAAGTAGGATAGGATATTGTCATCAGCAAGATGACTTGTCTTCTTCAGGAGATGGCAGACACACACAAAATAATTAAGCAAGAGACAACAGGATGAAAGCAGCTACCATTCACTCGATACTTCCTTGGTACAAGTCTCAATGTTTAGTGTTTCATGTATATAATAGGGACAAAAATGCATCTTCTTGTCCACACCTAAAGGCTTAATTCCCTTTGGTGTCACATCAAAGAGAAGCATATATTCAATATCAAAAAGCATTTAAAATAGCATTCATACATTCACTGAAGACTCCTGCAGATTGATGTGTGTATATGTGTGTGTGTGTGTGTGTATATCAGTGCATTTGTGTGTGCATGATATAAATGGAAAAATTGCTTAAAAAATGCTTTATTTGGCTCTTCAAAGTTCCACATCACATAATGGTGGTTCTAATTTTGTGCATCTCTGCAAAAAAATAAATTATCTTTATATTGGCTTTATATTTAGAGACCTACCTTTCGCCCCCAATCTTCTACATTCAGGATACATTTTTGTCTGTTCCCCAGATACCTTTCGACCTTTATTAAATAAATGTATTTATAGTTTCTCTAGCTTAATTTAAAAATTTCCTCCTTTATTCGTTCCCTGTCTATGGAGGTATGACAAAAGCTGAGAAATACAAACAAAAGGCTTCCTTAGAAATGAGCGATGTTTGGAGTGAGTGGAAGAAAGACTGCGAATAATCATAGTTTAATTTTGTTGAGCCTGGCTGCATATATCCTACACTGTGTTGTATCACCTTGTGTTTTACAGTATTTTGGTGAGCATAGACTTCCAATTGTTATCGAATTTAGGGTAAGGATCCTGATATAACTTGAACTGGTTTTTGAAAGATGAGCATGATTTCTTCAGCTGAGTGGTGATGGGAGGATTTCTGAGAGAGGGAGGGCCATTCGTGGATGCAGAGAGGCTGGCATACAAGACATGCACCGTGGTACTGTTGATAAGGATACAGTTGCTGACTTGTTTACAGCGAAGAATCCATGTGAGGGAGTTGGGCTTTTTGGGAATCAGGGGGGTGTGAAGAGTGAGGAAGTGTTTTTGATACAAGAAACCAGCATCGAAATTTGTTGTTGCTGTTTTTTTTTCCTATGTAATATTTGAAACATTTAAAGAGATAAATATATTCCGTGTATATTCTATAAAGCAGGTGGTGTCATCTCTCTTTTACTGACAAGGAGCTCAGTTCTCTAAAAGGGGAAGCAAGTTGTGAAAATCACTTAACTTTTAAGTGGTAGAGCCCAGACTCAATCTAAGTTTGATCTGAGTTTGGATTTCATTCTCTTTACTATATGCTGAAAAAAATAGACAACATTGCAGATGTTTCTTTGTTTAAGATCTGTCCTGTTTATTTCAACTGAACTTGGGAGAAATGAGAACTTTGCCCTGTATATTTTGTCAAGCAGCTAAAAATGCAAACAACTTTGTTTCACATAATTTATGAAATGTTTTTGGATAAAGCATTTAGCAGATGAATTTCTATTTAATTTTTAAGGGAATTTGTAGTAGAAGTTTTACTGTACTATAGAAATAGCCTATATAAATAATCTTTTTATGTAAATCAGATCTTCTATTTCTTTATTTTATTTTTATTCTTAAAATGTTAGAAAACCTTGTACTAGTTCCATTAATGATAACAAACTATCATTGACTTTAAATATGTTTTATATAGACATTTATATCATGTGTCTTACTGTATTGTCCAGATATTCAGAACAAGCTAGGGGAAAAGCTAGGGGACATCTTTCTTACATTTGGATTTTCAAAGGAATATTTGTGAATTTTTGCTGATGAAAATGATGATTGGTATAGGTTTTGAGAGCTATGATTTTTCAAAATAAGAAAGATTTCTTCTAATCAAGAGATTTCTTTGAAAATTTGCTAGAATGAACTTTCTAAAATAAAAAGATGATTTTTTAAAGTCTTCTTTGAATTTGTTACAATTCATTCCTATGGTTCTACCATTTAACTTTTATTCTAAATTTGGGTAACTGCTTTGTTAAAAAAGTGGGGATCCATTTACAATTTATAATACATTTTTATGCAATTTATAATGCCCTATTCTATAGCCAGCACGCAGCTATTTAAGGAAGATGAGGTGGTGTTGGGGCAGAGGTATAACAACGTGATGGGCATTATTTTCTTGACATAACTATGTTCAGTTTTTAATATTGAGAAAAATAACCAGCAGTTGGTTTTATTTCTTTTTAGATTTAGCTTAGCAAGCAATCACAATTGACTGTCTTCTTTCACAATTTTAGGTAGCATTGGCTTTTGGGGGCAAAGTGATATAAGCATGTATGGAAGACGATCTTAGTAATAAGTAGGGGCTATCTTCGTTTACTAATCATTTATTATTTAATTTATATACCTTCATATACCTTTCATTGTTATGCAGATAATTAGAGGTGACTTACCCCATTGGCAGAGACAAATAAGGGAAAAAGACTCCTGCTATGTATGATTGCAAATATTATTATAAAATCAAGTTCACAGCCAATAAAGCTAAATTTTTCAGCCACTGAGGCCTATGTTGCTGTTCTAGTTGAACCTCAAATTAGAGGCAAGCTTCCTGGCACTAACTTGAAAAGGAAAAACAGTTATTTAGTTTTTACTACTTTGAGGGGAAGCAAAGCCTCTCCTAGTATTAAATTCTAAAGCTGGAAGCAAAGAGGAAGCCATAGAGCATGAAGGGGTAGTTCTTGTGGTGGTTCTTATTTTAAAGGGATGAATCCCTCAGGGTACGTTTTTATAAAATATTTTTCTTCAGAAAAATTAAAACATGCTTTTTTTCTCCAAGAAAATGTGTATAGGCTTGTACACAGTTTTGTTCCAATGTGCTTTTTTTAAACTTGTTTTCTCACTCTACAGTTACCTGTATTGTAAATGATAAATCTTTGAGACTGAGTTTATTATTAAGTGAGCTCAGGCAGTGCTTCTCAAACTAGTCTACAGGCACATTCTTTGAATTTTATAAAAGTTTAAAAAATTATATGTTTTAGTGACACTAAAATTAATATGATACACATTTAAGATGATGTGGATGATTAAGAAATAATTCAGAGACATTGTTTTTAGTTGAAATATAATCAGTAACAATGTGTAAATTTCTGGTGTACAGCATAATGTCCCAGTCATGCATATGTATACATACATTCATTTTCATACTTTTTCATTAAAGATTATTACAAGATATTGAATATAGTCCCCTGCTCTATACAGAAGAAATTCTTCATCTATTTTTATATGCAGTGGTTAACATTTGCAAATCTCAAACTCCCAAATTTATCCCTTCCCACTCCCTTTCCCCGGTAACCATAAGATTGTTTACTATTTGGTGAGTCTGTTTCTGTTTTGTAGATGAGTTTATTAGTGTTCTCTTTTTCCTTTCTTTATTTTTTTTTTTATATTTTTGGAATCCCCATATGAGTGATATCATATGGTATTTTTCTTTCTTTTTCTGACTTATTTCACTTAGAATGATGATCTCCAGGTCCATTCATGTTGCTTCAAATGGAATTATTTTATTCTTTTTTTGTCACTGAGTAGTATTCCATTATATAAATATACCACAACTTCTTTATCCAGTCATCTGTCAGTGGACATTAGGTTGCTTCCATGTCTTGGCTATTGTATATAGTACTGCTATGAACATTGAGGGGCATGTATCTTTTTGAATTAGAGTTCTCTCTAGATATATGCCCATAATTGGATTGCTGGATCATATGATAAGTCTATTTTTAGTTTTTGAGGAATGTCCATACTGTTTTCCTTAATGGCTGCACCAAACTATATTCTTACCAGCAGTGTAGAAAGGGTTCCCTTTTCTCTATACCCTCTCCACCATTTATTGTTTGTAGACAGAGGCATTATTTGCATTTGTGTTGATGTTATACTTTGCTAAGGGAAAGTGCAGTTGCATCACAATTTAGGGCACAAATGAAGGTTTAACAGCAGTTCGCATAGAGAAGAGTGATGGGAGGATTTAGTTATTATGTGGCAGATAATACATGCCATGATTAGCTGATATCATATAATTTTTTACCATATATATTGTGCTGCTCCTAAATTTTTACATGTTAGCTTGAAAAAGCTAACAATAAATACAGTAAATTATCAGAAAAGTACTTATTATAAATGACTTTAAGTTTCTCTATTGTATTTTAGGAAGTATTATTAAATTCATTGGTCCAACAAAAGCATGAGTTAGTGGCTAAAAATCACTATCAAAGAAAAATAACAAAGATATGATAACACCGACTCAAATGATGTTTCATTGTGATCAAAATCAAGAGTCAAATCCAAAAGTGAAATGTAAAATCTACAACAAAGTATATATGTTTTCACTATTAAATGTAATATTTGCAACATTGATTCTGCAAAACATAATTTATTATGTTAAATTAGCGTTAATTTAAATTTTATTGATTTTTACATTTGTATGGGTAAGAGTATGATAAAGACTTGTCATAATAAGTTAATACTCAGAGATTATTCTGTGCTTAGTTTAAGTTAACACTGAGGTCTGTGAGAAAGTTTTCCTTTTTAAGGATTGGTGTTTTACTCTTGTTGGAGAAACAGTGAATTAGGGGGTTTACTCTTAAACTGTTTCCTGCCCATAGGGATTTAACAGGTCTTGATTTCTTGCACATTTGAAGGTTCTTAAAGTAAAAGTAATAATACTTACCCAGTTGCTGGGTCTGCTAGAATGAGGGGATTCCTTATGTGATTGGCATACTGAGACCGATGTTTGAAACAAGTGTTTATCAACAAAGAAAGTCTTGAAACCCTATCTGGTTGCCATGTTTATGTTATGAGCCATATGGGTTTACTCTGACAGTTCAGATCAGTGAACTCTCAGCTATTTTTACTGGTTTGTTAGAGAACCAACAAATAGTTTAAACTTAGACAAAATGACTTATGTTAGTAGGAAATTCTCGCACTGGAGAAATCTTATCCCTCTTGTAGGTCATCTGAACAAATCTATTTAGTTTGTCTGAGAATTAGATTTCTCAGGCATCTGTATCTCTCCTTTGCTCACCTCCTTAGCAGTTTGCATTTCTCCCATCACCACCCTCCATATCTCGTTTTGTTTTGGAGAGGGGCAGTGGTAGTAACTTTGAACTTTGGATTTCATCCTGCATCTGATAATGGGTATCTAGAAAGGTGGGTGGAACCATTCTTTCCATTACTTTCTAAAGGAACTTGATTGTGAGGCCATTGCAACCTATAAAAGAAAAATCAGACTCCGTGTGGTAAAACGAGTGCCTTTCATGGGACCTTTTCTAAGTCTGAGGAAGTCCTGAGCCCCATGTCCTTCCTGGAAGCCCAAGGTTGATCTCAGTGTGAATTTCTTCATTCAGCAAATGTAGCTAGTTTATCCAAGAACTTGTTTGAGCCCCATTTACTTATTTCTTTTCATTTGTTCAGGTGTAGAAGGATGTTTATGTGCTTTTCTGTGTTCTAGGAAGCAATTTTAGGCCAAAACTATGGTGGAGGGGAGAATCACAATGGTGTTTCAATCACGATTAGTTCCTATTTTCCTTCTCCGGATATGTTTGTCTGTTTTAGCATCATGTCAATTTCTTCTTCCTCAGAATACGTTGTCTTTTAAATTGAATACCATCAAGATAAATATACAACACACTCAAGAGGGAATTTTGGCTTTGTATTTGAAAAAATTAAATCAGGAGACAGCTGTTCAGATTTAAAGATGGGTTTATTGAGGATAAGAGGTGAATATACTCGAGATACCCAAACTAGTTATGTGTGCTTGTGAGTGCAAGGTTCAGTAACTTTCATCCAGCTGCGGACAGAGTCTGTTGGGAGGTCTTGGAAATCACCCAACTTGTTAATCGCTATTGAAATAACAAGAACATTCTTAGTTATTAGAGCTAGTATATAAGTTAAATATTTACAATGAATTTTTCTCCTGTCTTCTGTAGTATTTCTGTCAATATTAGCAATAGAATGATTTGCAATCAGATTATTGTGTTCCATGTTCCATAGTAATATATGGTGTGACCTTAATTTGATTAATTAAATTTACTCTGTAGTATCATGTTTATAAAATATTTAAGGCTTTGTTAAAAATTTTATAGAAACCAAAAAAAAACACAGTAGGATTATGGAATTTACTTACATGTGTAAATATATGTGGAGATAATTCACAAACGTGTTTATATCCAAGATCTTTCCTCTAAGATACAGAATCATATATCCAATTTCCTACTTGACAGGAAATCTCTGTAATGTTTCAACAAAATTAATGCCCCTTCTTCCTTAGATGATGTTTATTATTCTTTTTGGCAGCCTTTCCTATATTTGGTGATTTTCTTGCCTGATGACTTCTCGTGACCTCAGAAAGAAGTCAGACACCTTTAAGCCATCTTTATAGCTTAGGATATTGACAAGTGACCAAATCTGCACCATTCAGACCACCTAGAGGAGATTTGATTAGGAAGCTATTAGGAAACTGCAAAAAGGAGGCATCATGAGGATTCACTTCTGCAGAGAGTGGAAGCATAGACATCTGAGGATAGCAGCGTGTGATTCAGCCTAAGTGCTGGGAGCAGTGTTGTTTGTGCTCAGCAGTGGGTCTCCACTGGAGAGGTCCTGGGGTATATTTTGGTCATTGTTGGGTTTTCTGATGTTCTTTAATAGGATTCTTTTTTTTTTTCTGGAAATGATGTAGTAGATTTCTGTCATTTATAATAAAAAAATCAAACTGAACTTTCCCCCCAAATAGATCTTTGTCCTATTTACCAAGACTCGGAATTTCACCATGGTGTATTTGAGTATATGGGCAAGAAACATTGTTGTACATTCTGGACACCTGTCTCGTCTTCACTTCTGTTTCTTGTACACCACCAATTCTTGTTGGTTTTTACCTCTAGTATAGGTTTTGGATAGTTACGTCAAATCATCTTCATCATCTACTACCATAATTAAATACAATTTTTCTCTATGAGAATGCTACACCTGTTTCCTGACTGGTCTCTACACTGTAGCCAGAATGATTTTCCAAAATGTAAATCTGATTTAGGACAGCAACCTCTGCTTCCCCATCTTAAATCTCTTCTATGGCTTTCTGTAACACTTAAGATAAAGACAAAAGTCCCTATTTTGCATATAAGGACTTCTTGGTCTGTTTACTTCATTCATCTCCATCTTTGTCTTCTCCATTTTCTCTTACCCAGCCCATCTTTCAGTCTCTGTTATTCATTATAATCTGTCCTGCTCCAGGTCCTTTGCACAAGTGGTTTCTAATGTCTTAAATGATCTTCCATCCTCTCTTCAGCTGTAGCTCTCATTCCTCAGATCACAGATCTTTCTTCAGATTCCTTCCTCTTCCTTTTTCTGAAAAGAAGGACCCCAGTATGTGATCTCATAGCCAACCTCTCTTTTAAAGAGGTTACCAGGGTTTTGCTTTGACATGTATTTGTGGTCATTTGGTCTACTTCATCAACGTAGAAAAGCCCTATGAAGGAAAAGTGCCAAACGGTATTTGTTAGAGCATTTTAATGACATCTCACTAGGTCTTCCAAGCAATTAAAATATTTAAATTATATTATTCCTTTGTAACTAATCCACTTTAATAGGCAGTATAATGTAGAGGCTATAGAAGATGGTTTTAGTACTAGATTTGGATAGAGTTCTGACCAAGTTAAGTTACTTAACTTTTCTAAACCCCACATTCTTTCATGTAATATTAAACACTTTATGTACTCAATATCTTTCTCACTGGAATATTCGATGAATTAAATAAGATATTTTTACTGTTTTAAATACTTCTGTTTTATATTTCAGTTAGCCTCCAACATCATTCCCAGTAATGGGCTATCTGCTATGTGTAGATCACTATGCAGAAAGGCATAATCACAGGCAGTAGTCCTTAAGAAATTTATAGTCGAGTTTGGAAAATACTGTACATTATAAACTACAAGGTAGAAAATGTAAAATTTGTTAATTACCTGCCAAGTTATCTGATTAATCATAAGAATTCCTGGAGAAGGTAGGAACTGGGGTTTGCAAGGGAGAAAAAATTCTGCAGTTCTTCTAAGCAAAAAGGAGGGGGTAAAACTAGACAAAAATGCACATTGTATCGTTATGAAATGTAAGCTATGAGTTCATGTGGGTGATTCATGGCAAATGAGCATCACAAGGTTTGCAGGAATCACAACTGTGAGGATTTTCAGGACCAGAAAGAGTATGTGGTATTATCTGTGTCTGTGCATGCACTTGGTTGTATCTAGTGAATGGGTATCACCATGATTGGAATGATCATTCCCATTTCATGATACTTGCAGTGTTTAGTCACTACTTGTAGGACCATTTAAAAGCAGTTACTTTTTTTTTTTAAGTCATGTAAACCGTTCCTAGGGAGATATTTGCAAGTACTATATTTAGAAGAAACCAGTGTTGGAGACATATCTTTATTTCTGGTTATTCTCCAGGGAGAAAAACTTGACCCTATTCTGTGTCCTTCTGTTTAGCTTATGAATATCACTGAAATCCTGAAAGTACATCTCATTAGGAGAATTGAGTCAAATTTTTGAAATCATTGAAAGTTTCCTCTTCCCTTCCCCACTTTCGCCCTTTGAGGGGAGGTGGGGAAACACTTGTGTTTGACTGTTGGTCAGAATTCCTACTGTTACTTGTTTTGGCTGAAACTGTTTTCTATTTTAGCTTCTACAGTACATCCCAGAGGGAAGCTTTGAAAGTTTGTGTGGGAAATGAAACTCTGCAATTTCTCAATGTTTATATTCACCCATTGAGCCTTAAGTTAGCATTTATGTAAACAAAGTACAGTCCTCAGTTGCTCTCAGGGCAGCAAGAGCGCTGCTGGAATGGGGGTCACTTGCTCACTTGCATCATGCAGCTTTTCTGGTTATGTTTCAAAGGAATGTTTTGTTGAAGGAATATCCTAGGGAATGATTGTTTTTTGCTAAGAAGAAGTTGAATAAATTGTATATCAGCAGTCAGAGAAGTATTT